TTGTGATTATTCTAGTATTTCTTTAAGATTTCTTAGGAATTCTTTTAAGATTTATTTTAAATTTCTTTTTAATTTCTTTAAGATTTTTTATTATTTCTTTTGTAATTTCTTTAAGATTTCTTTTTAATTTGATTAAAGCTTGTTTAGTATTGTTGAGATTTAATTAGAATTTATTTAATATTTTATTAGAATTGAGATTTTGTTGTTGCAATTTCTATTCTACTTTCTACAACTAAGTGACTAGTGCATTTTTAAGAAGGACTTTACGTAATATGATATTATGATCTTTGTTATAAAGATAAGAGCTTGGTTTTTGCTATTCTTTCTTAGTGGTCATAAATAGTGGCCGTAAACACTTCTAAGAATGAATTCAAATTATAAAGAAGTTGTAAATCTTTTTCTATCAAAGGTACAAACTAAAAGAGAATACTTCCAAATAGAAGTGTGCTTATGAATCTAACTTGAGTAAATCCATTAAGATATTGAAAGGGATGCAACATTAGGTAAAGCTTGATTTATTGCAGAAATCCTTGAAATTTTGATCTTATTCCATCAAACTTCTTGGGCATATTAATTCTTATCCTTGTTATATTTGTAAATGCAAAACTTCCTAGATTTGGTTGTGAAGTCAATCTACTTTCTTCCCTCAATTGTACAACTTCTTCACATTGACTTTGAACTTCTTCTATAGGCATAGAATTAGTATTTCCTTCATTGACATTGATAGTGCGTGAAATTTCCATCCTAAGAATGTTGATAAGTTTATGAAGATTTGCAATAGTTATAAATTTATCTTCACTTTTGCCAAGTATAGCATCTATAATTTTTCCTTCCATTTTAAATAACTTGATAAATTCACAAATCAAATTAGAAGAGGATAATCCACAACTTCTAATATCAAATGAAAATTTCTACAAAGAAGAGTAATTTACTCTCTTTAAGAAATAAAATCAGTATTAGAAAATTAAATAGTTTGTTTAAAGGTAGATAATTGGCAACCTTCAAAATACAACAATAGAAGAGAATTAATCCATCCACTTTTAAGATAAGATGAAAACAATGAGTTAAGAATCTTGTCAATACAGTCTTGTGTCATTGAAAAGACTAGAAATCACTCAAAGGTGATATAATATTAAACTAGAATGGCTATTGCTAAAAACAAGAAAACTAGAAAGTCTTGAAACAAGACTAAAGATTAAAAAAGCATTGACAAGAATGAAGAAGGCTTCACTCTTGCTTCCATATATACTCTTAATTAAGAGCTACATGGCAATGTCCTATAGGACCTCTCAAACATGTTGACTTTGCAAGACACATATCTTAACTTTTAGACTAATTTTTTTTGTAACATTGATTCATTTTTTAAAGAAAGTAGACTATCTTTCATTGTAAAAAAAATTATTTAATATTAGAGGTTGCAATTATCTTCTTTTTATTTAATTTATTAATTTGTTAAAGTTTTTTATTATAGAGATGGAAGAAAAAAATATAGATGCTATATTTTGTAATAATGAGAATAAATTTGTAACTATTATAAATATTTATAAACTTGTTAACTATCTTAGAAAAAAAAATTCATATATTACAAATATCAACCACAAAAGTACCTTTCTTGTACCTATGGAAGAAGTCAACAATGAGGTCTAATATTTAACCTAATAAGTTGTGCAATTAAAAGAAGCAAGTAGATCAACCTCATCATTGAATCCAAAAAATCTTACTATTGTGAGTATAAAAGAAGCAAAGACCAAAGAAATTTGATAGAAAAAGACTAAAAATTTAAAGATTAATATTAAAAAAATAAATAAAAAAAAAAAAATCACGTCTTATTTAAAGTTGCATCCTTCTCAACATTTTGTTGTATTTATTCAAGTTGGATTTATAAGCACACTTCTATGTAAAAGTGTTCTTTCTTAGTTCTTACTTTTGTTTGAAAAGAATTCACAACTCTTATACAATCAAAATTTACTCTTATAAGTATTAATGATCATATATAAAAAAAGTGATTGAAAAAAGATATTAGAGACAAAACTTCTTTCTTTACAACAAAGATCAAAATTAACTACAATCTATATTGCCAAATTCCAAAATCTTATTTATGACATAGATTGGAATTACAAAGCCTTTATCTATTAATTTTGATACACGTTAAAAAGATATTATTATAGATTTGTTGTTAACAATGCTCAAAGAAAACATCTTATTTCAAAATATAGTAGCATAAAGACAAATATCTAGAATGTAGAAACTTGAGTTTTTTTGATCTTGAAAAATCTACATATTGTATTAAAGCAAATTTTTGAATCCAAATTGTTAAAATAATTTTTAATAATTTTACTAATTTTAAAGCTCTTATTTAAAATTCTAAAGATGAGACACAAGATGCTCTTAAAAAAATATGTTAAATAGAAAATAAATTCTCCTTCTACAAAAAAATATAAAACTACATCATATTATATTATATTATTCATATTTGATATCTAAGAATCATTATCCTAAGACCCATTTGCTTCTTAATGCATGCCATAGGTAGATATTAACTTTTCTAACTAACTCAAATCAATTCAATAGAGTTGGAACAAGAAAGACTTCAATAAATTGAATATAATCATCTTATAAACATTTGTATATATTAGTCTTGTTAAATTGTCAAAGATATTGTCAAGGACAAAAACTTGAAGAATATAAATAAATAAGTGAGATTTTTTTTTTTTTAATGAAAAGATGATAAAAATATATATATATATATATATATATATATATATATATATATATATATAAGAAGAAATTAGAATTGCTATTATCAAAAACCAAGAAACTAAAAACTCTTGAAACTAGACTAGATACAAGAAAAGAATTGACAAGAGTGAAGACTTCTTTCTAGCCTCCATATGTACTATCTAAATAAGAGCTAGATGGCAATGTTTTATAGGACCTCTGACATGTGTCTAACTTGCAAGATATGTGTCTAACACATTGATAAGAGTGAAGATGGTTTTAATCTTACATTTATTTTTACTAAATAATAAAAATGTCACTTCAAACTAATCTATGTTTTAATTCTCATTTTTACTAAGCAAGCTTAGATACAATTCAAAGCTTTATTATAGTATCAATATGCAATTTAAAAGATACTACGGTCTACTATTAAAAAATAATTTTTTTCTAACAACAAGATTATTAATAAAACAATATTACTATTATTTTCACTTTTATCTTTGCATAAAATCTAAGATCACAATACATAAAATCATTTGCACATTTTTCTAATACAGTACCAATTATATAAAAATTTAAAAATTAATTTGACAAAATATATTAGAAATATTATTTAATGCATTCTAAGTAGAAATTTCAGAACTATGCAACTAAAAACAATATTTTTAAAAATCTTGGTTATACTATTTAAATATACGGTAAATACTTTTTAAATACATGATTTTAGTATGGTTTTGGCATATAAATAAAAATAATCATTTTTTTGTAATAATTTTCATATTAAATTTTGATTAGAATAAATTATTCTCAAAACTTCCACCAACATTGAAATTTCTAACAAATTGTTTTGGTTACTACAATAGCAATATTTATTTAGTAGATAATAAGAGATAACTAGAAAAAAATATATGCAATTACAACACTTTAAAGAAAAAAATTAGATCACTTCATCAATCAGAATAATAATACAGTTTTTTTAATTTAATACATTATAGAAGATTATACATTATACATTATTGAAGAACAAACTTATATAACTTAAATAAATATATCTTTAAATTATTTGTTTTGAAATATTTTTGTTGAGTTTAAGTAGATTTTTACTTTAAAATGTCCAACTATAATAATACGTCTTATTTAAAAGAATCTAAATAATAAATCCTATTAGAAAAACAGATTTGTTATTCAAAAGTTACTTGGTTATATTGGAGTTTATTTAAAATTTTCAAATGAGTAGCATAAGTAGATATGATTTTTGAAATTATTGTAGGAGAGACCATTAATAATTTATAATTTATCAACTAATATTCTAATCTATTATTAAGCTTGAAAACAAGGATAGGAAAAAAAAAAATTCAAGACAAATTCGTGTATATGGGTCTAATAAAATGAAAGGGTTTTAAAAAAAACTAATTATGGTAAAACTAAAATTTAATATGCCATTATTTTAGGACACAAATCTAGTTTTAAACCATAAAATGATAATTTCATCTAACATTCAATCTTTCAAGTCTATTTCATAATTGTTCATATGTCACGAAGTTGCAAAAATTGGTAAAACAATTTTAGCTGTTATTAAAGAAATTTGTAAACTTGGAATTACTTCTAAGTTGAAATCTTTTGTTTTGAAAATTAAATATTATTGGTTTGCACTGACTTTAGACTACTAAAGATAACTAATTTCAATAAGAAAAAATTATTAGAAAAATAGTAAAAGGCACTTGTTCTGTGTAGGCAAAGTACTAGAAACTTGCTAGTAAACTTAAATGCCCTGGTTAAACCTCAAATACATCTTCAAAAATAAATTCTAGCAATAACTTATCCGTACCTTCAACGTCTTGAGAAGAAATAGCTTAGATACTTAACTACAAATTAAACTAGACGGAGTAAAAACGAAAAAAAACTGACACTAAGGTGTTCTAATTAATTAAAAAATAAAAATAAATAAAAAAAGTCTATATTACATATTTTAAGCAATACACCTCGCTTCTTGTTTTGTAGGATAAGCACTAAACCAATTAGTCTGCATTCTCTACACTTCCCGCAGACATCTCTGCAATTTAATGCATTATCCCTACAGGACGAATTGGCTTCGCAACTAAAAGTTGGACTGTCAAAAATTCAAAATGTAACATGCATTATAATTCAAGACCAACCATTCCCATATCGTGACATGGTGGCCTACTGCACAAGTCACTCGCCAGGCCTTACCACAATCTATTTGCGATATAGAAATGTAGTACTTGAGAAAAATGATCGATCTATTCCTAAGATACACACCCTTTTGAAACGAAAATTTGAAATTATTCTCTATCGTAGAAGATTGAAAGCTTGGGCTTCAGAGCAGGAACACGAACTTGTATATAAGTCAGCAATAAGCAAACTTATCCTCTTGACAATTCTACAAGAGTTACTTTGATTTATGAAGGGAAATGGCATTCGTTGAAGTAGCTTTTTATACAATTACATACGCCTGTGTTGTCCAATGCCTATGTTGACTCAATGCTTACAGAAAAGCAGGTAGATTCAAATTCCTAACTAGTTCTGAAAAGAGCCCAGTGTCCTATGCTCTTACCCATACAGAGCTGCTCCATATCATGAAGCTTTTTTCCCAGCTTTATCTTGCCGCAATGTATCAATGATGGCTTTCAAAACCTGAATCTCTTCGTTCTTCTTTCCCACCTCTTCCTGTTTTGCCCTTAGCTCCTCTGCGTGCAGCTTGAAAACTACTGCAATCACATGTACCCACATGCATATGTCATCACGATTGCACTCAGATAGGGCAATGTCCACGCGCAAACTTGGAACTTAAAAAAAGAGAGACAGTTGTGTCCTTTCAGATTCATACGAGTCCGCTCCCTGCCAACAAATTATTATGAACAAATTGAAGCGGTTGTCGATAAAAAGATCTTCAATTATAAGGAAAGGTCTGGCAATGCAGAACAGAGTCAGCAACAACCATGAGCCCGTTTTCTCAATAGCTTCATCAAAGTTGAGGGAGTGTACGATCCAACTCTGCAACGACAGGAACCTCTCCTATTAAGGGAGTTGAATTTACCAGCTGTATTTTCTAGTTCCCGTAAAACCTCTTGTACACGCGCTTCAGCTGCGCGTTGGCCAGCTTCAGCTTGTTTCTTCTCGGCCCGCGCATGACCAGCAGCTGCGATGGCCGCGTCTAACTCCCTTTCAAGCGCTTTTATTCTCCGCTCCTGTGCCTGGATATTCCAAAATCAAACTAGTCAACTCCAAAGAACTCTGAGAAGCACAAGAAGGATCACCATTTTGAAATATTTTTCAATAATTTCAGAACATGCTTTAGATGCTCGTCCTCAGCTGGATATATTACCTTCAACGTCCGAGACTGATTAGAGACTGCAGATGCATTCGCAAAGACGTCCTCATCTAGGTAAACCGCCTTTCTGAGCATTGACTGCAAGGATTCTAGTGATTGTCCCATGTCATTCACATTTGCTAAAGCTGCTGCAAATCGATCCGAAGCCAAACTTTCGCCCCTAGCAGGCGGGAGCCTCGCGGGTCCATCTACTGTCGCCATCTTCGTCGTCGTTGCAGGGAGATCCTTTTAATACAGATGCTAAGAAAGACAACTGCAAAAGCAAGCTCAGGAAAGAAACCACGTCAGCAATTCAATTCGTCTATTCGAGAAACACAAACCGAACTATCTGCAACCCTAACCCCGAAACCCTAACACAACATACACAAGCCATAGCTGTAACTCTCTAAATTAATCCGAACACCTTCAATAGGCTACAGTGCCCCAAAACTTCAAGCCCTGAGTCATCAACTAAGGTGCATAATTCGGAAGAAACAAAAATCTCGGGAGGAATGAGTAATTGCTCTGGTGAAATTGCCTGGAGAACTATTACTTAGGACACGCGACCTATGTCTTTTTAAGTGAACGTAATACACATACCAGTCTCGCAGGTGAAGAAATTGCTGAATACAGTGGGCGAAGAGGAACGCAAATAAAAATGGCGGAAACAGGGAGGAAGAATGAGAAAGGCGTTGAGAAAGTACAACGATGAAGGATGGGTCATCAACGATGGCCCCAATTGAGCAACGAGCCTCTCTTCAACGATTCATAAACCCCGTCAGGGTTTGTTCACCTCTTAAGCTCCTTGGGCTCGTCCACAATGCCTTCCCCTTCCCCTCACGCCTCAGTCCAGAATGCGGATTTCTATCACCCGAAATGAGCTTCGACGAGAAAATGCACGTCCAAGAGCATCAATTTAACTTGTCCAAGCTCTGCCCCACCGCTGATGTAGCAGAGCTTGCTCGGGGATCAAAACGTCCGTCCCTCGATCTCGATCTTTCTCTCTCTCGCTCTCTCGCTCGCTCGTTGTGTGTGTGGCTTGTTATGCGTGGAGCCTCCACAGCTTGACTGAGGAACAGACTCTAGTATCAATCAGAACACAGACCCAACCTGAACAGAGAGATGGGAACTCGTCATTCATCCATTTTGGATGAAACTGAAGTCCACATTTGGACGACACGCACAGTAATCACATGTTTTCTTCCATTTAGTTGTTCTTACTTCCCTGGTTACATGTTTGTTGCGTAATACTGCACACAGTAAAACCCCGAACAAAACTAATAATCTTTCTTCGAGAACCATCTTATACTTCCGGCTTTTAGTTGAGTTTAAATAAGTATAAGATAATTATTTGATTGTGAAATTTTAATCCAAAAGAAGTAAAAGAAATGTTTTATACCACTTTCTATTACTTTCTCATAGAATAATTACAACATTTACCCTTGTATTAAAATTTTCAGTGATTCCTTTTTTTTTTTTTTTTCTCTCTCTCCAAAAGACAACAATCTTTACTTTATAAAATTTAATTGTCACTTAATGATTATTTATTTAAAAAAATCCTAGAAGAAGCCTACTATCCAATTGTTCAAACTTATGTATCATATATACATAAAATATATAGGATATTTAATTATTATTTCATAAATTATTTATTATTAATTATTTTATATTTTAAAAAATTATTAATATTTATTTAGTATAATCTTAATATAGATACATAATAGTATTGTATCAAGGACAAAAATCATTACAAAACTCTAAAGAAGCAATGCACTCTTGTGACATTCAAAAAGAGAAAATGAGCAAATCAAAGATAGTTATAAGATAGAAGTAAAAATGGTTATTGATAAATACAAAGAGATTAGAGATTTTTGAACTAAGACAAGAACACAAGAAAGGTATTGATAAGAATAAAGAAGGCCTCATTCTTTCTTCTATATATACTATCTAAGTAATTATATGACAATGTTCTATAAGTCATCAAATGTATATCTAACTTGTTGAATATATCCCCAACTTGCAAAACAAGTTTCTAACATGTGTACTACATGGCTAACTTTTATGACAAGTGATCAACATGTATACTGCATGGCTAACTTTTATGTAAAAATATTTTTATATATTCTTGAAATTATATCTCTTTTAGAAATAAGTTTTATACAGAGCAGTGATCACATGTTGAAGAAGTCCAACATACAAAACATTATATTTGTTACATTCTTTAATCTTTATTCCCTTTGAAGGTAGATGATAGATCTTGCCAACTATCAATAGTATCCTATATTAGGACAAGAAAACTACTCTGTCATTTAATCATTATTGAGGCTTTCATATCTTCCTTTACAAAAATATATTTAAAATTCTAAATCTATTTTTATAAGATTATAAACTTTTGAAAAGTCAAAAGTATCAAATTGTGATTGATAACCATAATTAGCTTAAAAAGGTGATTATTGAGTAAAAAAATGTATTATGTACAAAATTTATCAATGGCAAAAAAATTGTCCAATCATTTTCATGGTAGTTGATAGTATTTATGTTTGTATTTAATATCTTAAAAAGAATTCTTCACAATCTAAGTATAAATTGAGTCCTTTTATCTCATATATTATCATTTGACACTTTATGATAGCAATAAATATTATCAAGAAAAAATATAATTATTTCTTCACTTGTGATAGTTTTTGTACATAGTACAAAATGCACAATTTTAGTGAAAAAATCTACTATCACAAATCTAAAGTCATAAGAATTTGAGATTGCAAGATCCTTGATAAAATTCATAAAAAAAAATGATAATATTTGTTTTAATATATATAATAGCTGAAAAATCTATAAGTTCAATGATAAGAAATTTTTAATCTTCAACAAACATAACATGATTGTACTAAGTCTTTAATTCCCTTCTATATTTGAAGCTACCAAAAATTGTTTGAGATTGATTCCAAAGTTTTATCATATCAAAAATATCTTATAGCTAGAAAATTATAATAAATTTGAAGAACATATAATTATGTTTTATCTTTTAAATAATACAAGCATATTTATAAATAAATAAAAAATTGTCCTTAATTTCATATTTAAAAATATGATAAATTTAAAAGAATTATTTTTAATATCATCTATAAAAAGATATAAAATATATATTTAATTTAATGTGATTAAAAAAATTAAATCAATAGTCAATATTAATTTTATTGCTTTAAGTTAAAATTTCTTTAGCTTCAAAATAATTATTTTTTGTTGATTAAAAGTTTCATCTTTCTCTTTTGCTATAAGATAAGAAATTCTAAAGATAAAATTTAACAAATCTTTTTGATTTTTTGCTCCATATATAATATTGAAGTCAAAACTTAATAAAAGCATATTCTAATAAGCTTAGGAAAAATTCAAATTGAATATTGATATAAAAAACTTGAGATTCTTGTGATTTATATAAATAATCATTAAAATAAAAATACTTCTAAAATAATAGTGCAATTTTTAGAATGAATCCTCAATTATAAGAAATTCTTTTTTGTTGATCTTATAATTAATCTTAGTTATTTGAAAAAATGAATAAAAAGCTACTAGGTGAATTATGCCATTAAGTCTTCTTTCTCACAACACTACATCTAAGACAAAGTCATATGTGTAAGTTTTTATAAAAAAATGCCTTAAAAAAGTCAATGCAATATAAAATTGGAGTTACACTGAAAGTTATTTTTAAAGCTTTAAAGGCTACTTAAGCTTCTTTGTTCCACTTAAGTTTGTTTTTACATATTAAACCAGTTTGTAGAACTATGATTAGAAAATTTATTTTTATAAAAATCTATTAATAATTGACTAATTACAAAAAATATTGCACATCTATCATTGTTTTTAGAATCTTCTAATCTATGATAAAATAAATTTTCTTAATATTTATTATAAAAGCCATAATTTAGCCATCATTTGAAATGTTATATTCTACGAAAACAACTTGAATTGTGTGAAATATATACTTCTCCATCTTGATATATAATCTTACGTCTATATTTTTTTTGTAAAATATAAAAAATAAAAAAATAAAAATTGTATTCTTTTATATTTAAGAGTGGATTAAAATACTATTGAAATGAAAATAAAAAATCATCTAAATAAAATTAAGAAATATCATTTATTAGAAGTTAAAAATCACTTAAAAAACTCTTGAAATCAAAAGGCATGACACTAAATTTAAAATATCTAAACCTAACTCAAAATAAAGTCTTTTGTTTATCTTTTTTATGTATTATTATGTTCTAACAAAGCTAAAAGAAAAAAAAATAAAAGAAAAAAAAACAACATCATATTATATTATAAAATATTTGACTTTAAAATATAATAGCAAACTATCTTATGTATATATATTAGTTACTGAGGTAGTAAAATTAATAAGGGTTAATACTACATTTTTATAAAAAAAAACTTCTACTTATCATATAGGATCATAAATAAGATAAAATAATATAAATTAAAAAAATTAATTCATGGACATCTTAAATAAAATTAAATAATATCTTCTAACAAAGATTACATAAAAAAAAACTAGATGTTGATATCGATAGAAGATCCCTTATGAACATAGGTTAAAATCAAATTCTAAAGCACAAGATGTCATGGGCATACACATATAAGTCAACAATTACTTATATAAATAGATAGAAGTAATTAAAAGTAAGTAGAAGTATATAAAAGTAAATTAATTCTATAATATCTTCTATAGTAGCATCTTAGAAGCTTCATAGATGTTGCTTTGACTTTATAGATGTCTATAATTGACTTTTTGGATTAAAAACGTGGTCGACAAGTTGGCCATGTACCATACATGTTGTTAGCTTAAAGACCAAGCTAACTATGTGGCCCACATATAAAAAAAACTTACCTTATAAGTCAAGGTAAGTGTCCTACAAAGTCAACACATATTTGAGGTCCTATAGAACATTGCCACGTAGTCTTTAGTTCGATAGTATATATAGAGACAAGAGTGAAGCCTCTTCATTCTTATCAACTCTTTTCTTGCTTCTAATCTAGTTTCAAGAGTCTCAAGTTTTCTTATCTTTTGGCAATAAGCCATTTCAATTTCTTTTATATATATATATATATATATATATATTTTAATTTTTTCACTCTTTCTTTGATATGGATTTCATTGATTTATGCATCATCTTTTAGTTCATATCCTTGATAGATTGATAAGAATACACTCACAATATTAGAGCTTTATCTTGTATTGATTAAGAGTGGATTATCCCATTTTCATGGTAAGATATAACCCTATTAGAAGTTACAGATTACCCTCTTCTAAATTGATATTTTTCTTAGTATTTTCTTTGTCTTCAAGTCTTTTCTTCTACTTGTCTTGATTGGTATTAGATATTTTTTTAAGTATTATTATAGTAGAGCTTATTGAAATGAAGAGTGCAATGGCACAAATACAAGAGTAATTGAAGGAGTTGATGCTTGCAATGCATCAACTTACCTTACCACCAAAAGGATGAACAAGAATGGTAAGAAGTGAGGATATAGAGATGATTAGAATTGCTTCAATATTTGCACCAAATTATGTCCTTCCATACACAATGGAACATCCTTCAAGTATTAGAAAATGAAGAATTCTCATGTATTGGAAGTTTGATAGTATAAGATCCAAATTTTGAAGATTTATCAATCAAGTATAACTTGTGATTGAACTTCAACCTCAAAGCTATCCAATTCCAGGATTACAAGTTAGATTCATTGGTACACTTCTTTTAGGTTTAGCATTATCGTGGTTTTCATCTTTTCTTGAACGACAAGATCCAATACTGAATAATTTGGAAGCAATTTTGGTGGAATTCTGGTCCATGTAAAAAAAACATGATGCAACTCATGTTGCAACTAACAAGATCAGTATTTTATGACAAAGCAATCGATTTGTAATATTATATGCTTCCTATTTTTGTCAACATATAACTGATATCAAGTCAGATGATGTTGCATTTATAAGCCAAGTTTTTTATAGATTACTATATGAAGTAAAGAAATTGATGTTCAACTTACCTAACCCTATAACATTGAATCAAACAA